ATATGTGAAAGAATAGAGCTGCATCTGACATCTTGGCACCATTCTTTAATAGCTGTGTGATCTTGCACAAGTCACATAACCACTCTGTACTCAGTTTCCTATTCTGTAACATTTTACTTCCTATTGCAAAGTGTTTGCGTGAGACTCAAATAAGATAGTACCTAGCAGGGTACCTGGCTCTAAAGAAGGTGCTCCAAGTGTTGTCTTCCTTGTGTCTCACTCCCTTTTTTTTTTTTTCTGAGACAAGATCTCATTCCATCACCCAGGCCGGAATGCCAGTGGCACAATCTCGGCTCACTGCAACCTCCACCTCCTGGGCTCAAGCGATCCTCCCACTTCAACCTCCAAAGTAGCTAGGACTACAGGCAAGCATCACCATGCCTGGCTAATTTTTTTTTGGGGGTAGAGATAGGGTTTCGCCATGTTTCCCAGGCTGGTCTCAAACTCCTGGGCTCAAGCATTAGTCTGCCTTAGCCTCCCAAAGTGCTGGGGTTACAGGCATGAGCCACTGCTCCTGGCCTACTGTGCTCTTTTTACTACGCTATTAGCTATGATGAGCTGGACCTCGCTCAGCCCCAGCTGAGTTCTGGCTTCCCATCCTCCTCCCTGCCTGCTGCTTCCCTGAGTCACGCATTGCAACGTGAACAACAGGGGAACTCCAAGAAGCTTACCATGACAGCAGTAGTGGGAGGAACAAGAGGGGAGGGAGCAACTGTTTATTTTTCTTTGAAATGAAGTCTCACTATGTTGTCTAGGCTGGCCTCAAACTCCGAGGGTCAAGCGATCCTTCTGCCTCAGTCCCCTGAGTAGCTGAGACTACAGGGGTGCGCCACCATGCCTGGCTAATTGTTTTATTTATTTATTTATTTATTTATTTTTGTAGAGACAGGGGTCTCACTGTGTTGCCCAGACTGGTCTTGAACTCCTGGACTCACTCAGTACTCCCACCTCGGTCTCCCAAATGCTGGGATTACAGGCATGAGCCATTGTGCATGTCCTTACATTGTATTTTCAAAATTGTAAATTATTAAGATAAGAAGTGCCCTTTAAAGATTCAAACACATAAAAGTATAAAGTAAATAAACTTCCAACTAAGCTACCTCACCTTCTCAGAGGTTACTTACCATTGTCAACTGTTTGAGGTGTATCCTTCTAGATCTTCTATTCAAACACATATAATGGGCTCAAACCAAATATTTTTTGCAACTTTTCTGTTTTTTTTTTTATTTATTATTTATTTATTTTTTTTTCACACAGAGTGTTGCTCTTGTCACCCAGGCTGGGGCATAGTGGCTTGATCTCGGCTCACTGCAACCTGTTCTCCTGGGTTCAAGTGATTCTCCTGCCTCAGCCTCCTGAGTAGCTAGGATTACAGGCACCCACCACCACGCCTGGCTAATTTTTGTAATTTTAGTAGAGTGAGGGCTTCATGATGTTGGGCAGGCTGATCTCAAACTCCTGACCTCAGGAGGTCCACCTGTCTCAGCCTCCCAAAGTGCTGGGATTACAGGCATGAGCCACTACGCCTGGCCAGTTTTGTTTTGTTTTTGATTAACACTGTATTCCAAGGATACCTTTCCAAATCAGTACAGCCATATCTAATACATCCTTTTAAATGATGGCTACTATTTTATTCTCTGGGTGACCCTAATATTATACTTCTATATTTTCCAGACCTTTGATGAGCACATAAATTATTTTAAAATGTAGGGCATTTTACCATAAAAATTTTTATTTCAAATCTCATCGGTAGAAAAGTATCCAAATTTTGGCCCTGAGTTATCGCTCCTGCCTGTAATCCCAGCACTTTGGGAGGCCGAGACGGGTGGATCACGAGGTCAAGATTTCGAGACCATTCTGGCCAACATGGTGAAACCCTGTCTCTACTAAAAATACAAAAATTAGCTGGGCGTGGTGGCACGCCCCTGTAGTCCCAGCTATTCTGGAGGCTGAGGCAGGGAATCACTTGAACCCAGAAGGTGGAGGTTGCAGTGAGAGGAGATCGCGCCACTGGACTCCAGTCTGGCAACAGAATGAGACTCTGTCTCAAAAACAAAAACAGAAAAACCAAGAAATAGAAGTTCTCCTTATAAGACAGGCTACAAACACTGGAAGGATGAGTCACA